AAATTTGGTTGATCTTTTGACTAAAGGCTTTACAAAGGATGATATTAGTAAGATGTCAAAACGAATGGGGCTAAAGTCCATTGAGTAATCATCTATAGTGGGAACCCAGCTTATTATTTTGGAACTTCAAAATTCTAGGTTCAATATGGTAAAAACAAACTGTATGTATGGTTAATTTGGTCACTAGACGACAAAATATAAGAAACACTCATTCTAAGAAAATCCATACGACGGATAAGTCTAATGATGACCTGTATGTTAGTAGGATGAGCCTGCTCTTAATGTTGCCTATGGACTATATATAAGTCGGGGTGTTTTATATACATGGGCACTCTTGATAAACACACCTATATAAGTGTGGAAGTGAGGTTGCTTCCCATGAGAATGACTCGTCTCTAAAGCACTTATGAAATCAAGATATAAGCACAAGGCCCAAAACGTGCTGGTTGCTAAAAATACACTAGAGTTGAATATGGTTTGTGAGTTATACTACCGGTCTGTTAGATAAGCAACCTGGTTCAAAGCTTTACGCTATCACGGTATTTGATGGACTTTGTAGTCTACACTTTAAATGAATATTCAAATCAGAAGATACTTCATGGTATGCAAATAATATGTTTCCTATATTTTGTTTTGTTATTTTGAAATAGTGGAGGAAATTGTTTGTATTTTTTGATTAGAAAATACTTATTTGTATTTCAAAACAACACTATAGTTTATTCTTTCCTAAATTGCTTTGCCTTTGGTTTTATTGTACTTTTCAAAAATGCCTTTGTTGAGAGAGGAAGGTGTGGGTTTTGAGTCCTACATTAAAGAAAAGAGAGTTTGTTGAGTCATATTTAAGGGCACGCCTTCCCATACAATATATTCTAAGTACAAAAGAGAGAAAGAACATGTGCAGAGCACATGAAGCGTGCGATGTGAGTGTGCAAGGATGTGGGCATAGGTGCAAGGACGCTTGATGGCGTAACGGTCATCTAGATGAGATGGACATCCAACCCTCATCTAGCTGTTAATGAGATGGAGGTTGTATCATGTACATGTAACTCATGTAACTTATAACTGTTGAGGTGCATGTAACCACATGTAACTTGTAGCAGTTGGGTGGTGCATGTAACTTGTAGCTGTTGGGGTGCATGTAACCACATGTAACTTGTAGTAGTTAGATGGTGCATGTAACCACTACAACACTAAATGGACAGCTTCTTGGTGCTCTATAACAAGGGCCCTCCTACCCACACAAGTGACTTTTTTACAACATACTTTTAAGCCTCATAATGTACATTTTCTCTACAATTTCAGCAAGGAAACCAGTGGGCTAACTTTTTCTCTCTCTCTACTCGATTTTTTCTCTCTCTTTAATATAACAAGACTCTGGTGTCTATGGTGTGGGTTCCAAGCTTGGGTGCATAGAGCTTAGGAATATTGTTATAAGACCTCTATGTTTTCCTGTATGCCGAGGACGAATTGTCCATCTTATGCATAATAAATACTTAATTGAAAGGGGGCTAAATGTTATCTTGAGATAGCATTCACGCGTGCCCGAAAACAAAGAGAGTTCGAGATCCTATTTTTGCAAATTGTATCATTTTATGTCCCTATTACACCCAACCAAAATCCAACACATTTGTGACTATGCACATGCATGAAGCATGTAAGGGTTTCAATCTGTGTTGGAAAAGTCAACTCGGGCCGGCTACTTGGCCCATGCCTAGCTGTGTACTCGCCCGGTCCGAGTACTGTAGCACTTGAAAATTATTTAAAAAATAAAAAATAAAAAAAAAATCCAAAAAATAGAAAAAAAAAATTGAAGTAAAATTTAACAAAACGCAACGAATTGTGGTTAAAAAAGCAATGAAAATTAGATTACAAAAAAATGAGTTTGTGATGGGGTATTTTTGAAATTTTTCAAAAAAGATGGAAAAAATATACAAATTAGTATTCATGGCCAAAATACTTTCTAATCTTTGCCAAAATGATAAAAAACATA